TTAGAATAATAATTATTTCGAAATGAAAAGAGACCTGAATATTTTAAATACCTGACCAAATATAAAAAAAATTTAAATTTGCATATTTTTACAATTTGATTTTAATAGAGCGTTAAAAAATAAATTGAAGATGAGTTCATTAAAACAAACATCTTAAATATCGATTTTTATTTATTTTGTAAATGATAAAAAAGATAACATAACGAAAAAACTTTAATATTATCTATACCGCGTAGCCATATTTTTTAAACTATTATTATTTTTATTAAAAAAAATATATATGTGAGAATAATAAAACAAATGATGAAAAATGAATATTTTTAAATTTAAAAAAACAAAATTTATTAAAGGAAAAAAGTTTTTTTTTTTTTTTTGATCGAACTCATCTTACACATGCGCATAAAAAAAAAAAAAAAAATTTTCCGACATCGTCTACGAATGCTATTTATCTGGAAAATTTTTGACTTTTCCTCCTAAAATGAGAGTCACGCGGAAATGAATTACGGGTTTTTTTTTTTTTTACGCACTCGATATAAATTTTTTTATTTTTCCGTCAGGTTTCCTAATAAAAAAGGAGAAGAAAAAGTAAAAACATTGTATTGATCGTTTTAAACCCTCCCCCCCCAAAAAAAAAAAAAAAAAATTAGAAAAACAACAATCGTATTTTGTTTTTTTTGTTTGTTTTTTTGTTTTTATATTTACAATAAAACCTTTGGCTTAAATTTTTAAATTTTTTTCTACAGTTGACAAGAACGGAAGGATGTAGTTTATTTTGCACTGGAATAAATCACAGTCGTTGTAAAGACAAAGTCAACGAAAATTCAGTATCACATACTCAATCTAGTCATAAAATACAGAAAAAAATTCGCCTTGATGGTAAGTTTAAAAAAAATTCTTTTTTTCATTCATTCATTCATTCATTCATTCACCTTTTGAAACATTTAATAAAACATTTTTGTAATTAAGTTTTTGAGTTGAAGGGGGGGAGGAAGTGGAAAAAATGGCAAAAATTTTCTCTCGTATAAAAAAAAAAAATATTTTTTTAATTTTCCTTTTGGGTTTTAACAAGGAAATTAACTTTTGTTAAAAAATTTTCTTTTTTTTTCTTTTCCTTTCTTTTGCGAGAAAATCTTTTTTTGATACGTTGGGAATGGGAAATCAATCGATGATTTTTAAGAAAGAAAATCATTAATTAAATGGTTAAAAAAAAAAAAAAATTAAATAATTAATTTAACGTGTTGACAAAATTTTCCGTCATCGTTGTTTTTTTTTTTAAATTTAGATCACGTGATAAATTGTCCATCGAATTACATCCCTTTTCTTTCGCGGTTACTTAATAAAATTTTTTTAACTTTAAAAGTAATAATAATAATAATAATAATTATTATTATGTAGTTTATTTAAGATTTTAATTTTTAATTTTTAACTTTTTTGTTCGTTTTGTTTTTAAGTTAGAAAATATTTTAACGATCTTTGTTTCCCTATTAAAACTTTTTTTTTTTTATTAATCTCGCTCTTTCGTAATTTATTCTTTAAGTAAAAAAAAGAAAAAAATTTTAACTAAAGAAAAAAAAAAAGAAAAAGAAACAAAGTTAATGTTTCACAGAAAGTTTTTTTTTTTTTATTTAAAACAAAATTTGGTTAAATTTTTTTTTTTTTTTTTGTTACTCGGTTTTTCCTTTTTTTTATTTCACTAGATGTACTTTTTTTTTGTCAATTTAGTTTAAAATAATTTATTGAATTATTTTTGTCGTCGCTTTATATTAAATGAGTAAAATCGAGTTCATTTAATGAGAGAGAGAGAGAGAGAGACAGAGAGAGAGAGAGAAAAAAAGGGCGAGGGAAAATTATTTTTTGTCGTAAAACTTTTTTTTGAATAACTGCGTTGTTGTTGTGCGGTCGGGAAAATTCTGGAAAAAGCGGACTAATAATTGTAATTTAGTAAATTGTCGCCATTAGCTAAACGTCCCATATTGCTAACAAAATATTATGAAAACGTGTTTGTTTGATATCATTTGTAAAAATTTTAATTTCGGTGAGAGTTTACCCCCTTTTTGTTGCAAAAAAATTCTATTTTTTTATTACTTTAATAGCGTAAAAATTACATAAAAAAAGGGTTATTAGTTTATGTATATATGTCTAAAAAGTTTATGTTTTAATTTTATTTATATTATTAATGATTGCAATCGAATCGTTATTTTCTGAACGTAATAATTTTTTTAAATTACCTTTTTGGCGGTTTTTTAGGAGCGGGTAAATGGTAAAAAAAAAAAATTATTTCTATTTTTTTAATGTTATTAATGTGATAAGATCAAAATCATAAAAAATTTTTTTTCCCTGATAGTCAAATGAATAAAAACAAAAAAACCCAAAAAAAAAAAAAAATTGGATTTCGTGGTTTTCCTAAGATAAATTTTTTTTTTTTTTTTCTTAAAGCTTCTTTAAATGGCCGAATTTAAGTTTAATTCTTTTTTTTTTTCATAACTGGATTTCTTATTTTATTTTTTTTTTCAATTTAATATAAAAAAATCGGTCAAAGAAATAAATTAATAAATAATCCGGAGAATTTATCGAAGTGGAAATCGGAAGCTTTTTTATTCGGGACATTTTTCATTTTTTTTTTCTTCTCGTTTTAAAAAATTTTTTCACATTAATTTATTGCGTATGTATAAAAATAACGACTCTGTAATCTATATTGAAATTTACATTGATTTAATTTTCGGAAAGTTTTCGTTTAAAATAATAATAATAATTTTCTTTTGACTATTTCACACGCCCCCGAGGTCAAAATATCAAACAATTTGAAAACTAAATTTTTTTTTTTTTTTTTTTTTTTCAAAAACAATAACGATTTGATATCCAAACTAAAAAAATTTACCCGGAAACGTTTTAATGGGTTTTTTGTTAAATGAAAATTTTTGTTTTGAAAATCATGGATTCGTTATTAATATTAGTTTTAAATGTACACACACGCACACGTGTATAAATATATGTATATTAAACTTTTTTTTGTCACCCCCTTTGGCAGTATGCACCGCCAATAGAGGAGATTCATAAATATTCAGTTTAAAAATAAATATTACATACTTTTTCGAAGGTAAACAATTCGATAATTAAAAAATTCACCTTCTAGCAAAAGATATATATATATATATGAAAACAATATTTAAACATGGTTTAAATGCAAAATGCGAATTTTTTTTTTTTTTTATTACCATAACATAAAAACATAACCTCAGGGATTCACTGACAAAATAATCCTAAGCAAAATCCGTTGCCAAAATTTTACTGGCAAGAAATTTTTTTTTTTTAGTTTTCGTAATACGAATTATTGCTTTCATAATTTTTTTTTTTTTAAAAAAAAAAAATTTTATAATAATATACTGATAGAATTATCTAAATTCTAAAAAATCTAAATTAATTAATTAGTTTTTTTTTTCGAGAATATTCTAAGGGGAGTAAAGAAAATAAAAATTTTCTGGTGTGTGCGTTGTTACGGTTGTCTTTTGTCCACCAATATTCTCGATTCGAATGGCCTTTCTGCTATTATATTATTATTATTTTCTTCCACTGTTTCGGTTTCTTTTATTTTATCATTATCGTCATATTTTTTACCTGTTATCGATTCATTCGCGATGAAAATATCACCGTTTGATTTTCTTTGGTAGTTATTATTATTATTATTATTATCATTTTTATTGACGACATCCGATGAGTTTTCGTCAATGGCGGTCATTCGATTTTCGATATCGGCTACGGTTTCTTCACCGATTTTCTTCAACTCAATATTATTATTATTATTTTCTTCTTCTTCTTCGAAATGAAATTTTTTATTCGTTTCTTTTAATATTGACATGTCGTCTTTTGAATATTTTTTACCCGTCGACGATTTTAATTCATCCGATTTGTCGGAAAAATTTTCGGAAATTTCAAATTCTTCAAACACGATATCACAATTATTATTTTTTTTATTTTCGTCTAATAATTTTTTATCGTACCCGAATAAAATTCCTTTTTTCTTTTCTTCGGGTTCGAAACGGGATGTTACGTTCATTATATGATGTGGAACGGAAACGGATCTTTGGAAAAGTGCATTCTTGGCATTTTCTAATCGCATTTTAATTATTTCTTCTGAATTTTTTCGAATCGTCGGAGATTCGTTATATTTTTCCTCGTCGTAATTTTGCTGATTGTTACCGACAATTATTTGAAGGCTCGGTTGTTGAAAACGTTTTTTGTTTACTTCAGAGTCGGTTTTTTCGACGTTATCATTGTTGTCTACCTGTATGGAAAGAGGTGTCTCGTATTTTTTTCCCTTCGCATCGTCCGTTAGAACTGTCGAAGGGGGACAATCAACGACTTCTTGTAACGTTTTGTTTTCAGTATTATTGCGAATTTTACTCTTTTTGGGATTTATCACGTAAAGCCCTTTCGGTTTTCTTATTCCAATTTCAACCTCTAAATCATATTTATACATATCTATTTCTCTGTTATTTAAAACGTTTGGTCTTTGAAACATATCCGTATGACCGAAACTTCTCGTTCTTCCAACTTTTTTCGTTTTATTTTGTTCGTTTGCCTCTACGTATTTACTATAAATATCCGCAAACGATAAAGAAATATTGGATTCTTTTTCGTATTTTTCCGATATTTCTTCCATAATAGCCTGAGCTGTGGGACTAAGAAGTGGTCCAATGGAGCATGTTAACATTTCTCCACCGTAATACGTGACAGAAGTTCCGAATGACCTGATTTTTTCAAGTATCTAAAACAAAATGGAAAAGTTAATTAGAAAAAAAAGTAGAAGGAAAATTGCCAAGAATCAGATTTACTTTGATGTTGATTGTAATTTTTTTTTGTTTTGTTTTGTTTTTTTTTTGTTGATAATATTCAAATCGCGCGTGTAATGAGCTCACCTCATTTTGCACGTAATGTTTATCTTTTATTTCGTTTAATAAATCATCATCTGATACAGTGGCAAAATCCGGCTCTGTTTCGTTTGCTTCTTTAGAATAGTTTTCTAAATCCATATCATAACTGCTGAGATCACTGCTGACTCCGGATGACACACTTCCTGTATCCGTCCATTTCGAATGAAACACTTTGTTACTTAAATAATTTTTTGGCGATTTTTCATATTTATCGATAAATTTCTTTTTTATAATTGGACTCGATTGTTCATTTTCAGAATCTGAAAATTTCATTGAAGTCAAATGAAAATGGCTTTGACCATTTTAGTGAGTGTTCCGATTGCCATAAAAAAAAACTATTAAAGCGGTTAACATTTGAACATAATTCAAAAATAATAAATATTTGGCGCCAAATTTTTTTTTTTCAAAGGTGAATGTAGTTAATATGCAGAAGTGAATGATAAGTGGAATGTAATTTTAAACATAAATACTTTGTACCTTTTATCGATTCGGAAAATTCCATTTGATTTCCAGAAAATCTTTTTGTCGTATGACCCAAGTTACCATTTATGTGTCTCATGACATCGTCTCTATCGCATTGTATCGACAGAGGCCTTGGTACGTGCCTATTTTCCGGTTTTCTGTAGCTAATGTTATTCATGCTTCCGCTAAGTTTGCCGTTAAGCTTTCTGTCAAGAGTGGCATTTAAATTTTCTTGAAATTTGGCACGAATGTTTCTCACCGTGTCGGGATCCGGAAGTTCTTCGTCTATCAATAGTTTATTCGGTTTCACTAAGGTGTTAAAATAATGTCGAGTGTTAGCTTCGTGTTCATCTGAATTCGGAGGATCGTTTGAATTTTTCAACGTTGCACCCATTATGCGGCAAGACATTTCTTTGGCATTTTCCTTCTTATTATTCTTTTCGTTCGGTTCAAAACGTTGTTTTAAATTCGAATACCACTCGGATATTATTTCTTTATTGTTTTTAGCAATTTTATCTAGAAAAATATATACATGTAGAAAATATTTTTAAATTGAATTATCTTTACGAGCGTGTTTCAAAAAATTATACAATACAAAAACTTTTGGGTTTCTTTTTACGTAAAAAAATTTTATTTTATTCTTACAAGTAAGTTTTTGAAAACTAAATTCGTCATTTCATGACGAATATCGCATAAAATAATGTTTTTCTTTATTTCGTCACAAATGCGCAGAATGTTACACACCTGAATATTTATTAACTCGGTTCGTATAATAAATTTTTACGAGGAATGTTTAAAAAAGTTTTTCTTTCGAACGGGGGAATTTTGACTTTTTTTAAAAGTTTGATTTTTAACGTGGGAAAACGTTGATAAATGTGATAATGCTAAGATAAATGAAAGATTAAAAACCTTTTTACCGTAATAAAAAAAAATTTTTGTTTCCCTCCTTTTTACGACTTAATTCAAAAATTATATTTTATATCGTAAAACGTAAAATGTCTAACTCACCTGCATTTTCATTTGAAATGTTGTCGGCGGTTTCGTTTTCACCTGGTTTGATGGTAGAGCACGAGCTACCGTTTTCTATAACATTCGAATCGCAACTGTTGACGGAATGTTCCTCGAACTCGGATTTAACTCCCAAGACTTGGTTTGTCTTCAAATTTTTGTTCCCAGGCTGCTGACTCGTGTCATTGTTTTTGTTATTAACGTCGTTTTCTATTATTTTTGGTGTTGACGATGACGATGACGATAACCTGTTTAAAGGTTTTTCCTCGTCGGTTTTCGATTCGTCAAAAATGTAAAATAATTGTACTTTATTGTCGTTCGTTTCAACTAGTTCGTGCTCTTTTTCCAAAATATGAAGTCTTTTCATGCACTCGTCAAAATTTTTAGCAAAGTAATTATCATGTGATTTTTTTTGGCCCTCGCCATTAATTTGATCGTTTACATCATCAGGTGAAGGCATTGCTTGTTGTTTTAACTCTTCATTGTTTACCTATAATTTAAACAATTTTTTTGTTTTTAAATTAAAATGACTTTGGTATCGGAAATATAATTTAAATAGGGGAAAAAAATTTTAATGTTATTGAATTTGCAATCGCAAAGACTTTAGTTGTAGCGGGGGGGGGGGAAAGGAAATATATTTCACTTACTTCCATTTCATTTTTTTCATCTTTTTTCTGCCAGGAGTTATTCAATTCCGTTTCTGTTGACATTTCAGAAAAAGAATTTTTGTCTCTTGTTTTTTCTCTGAAATATTTAAAAAAAAAAAATCTCTTTATTTAGAAATTCATGGAATTTTAATTTTGGATCAATTCACATTGTTTTAATATGTTTGAACGGTGTTTGATTACAAATTACATTTTCCTCAAAATAAATAATAAAAAAATCAGCCATAAAATAGGTTTATAAATTTCGATTTTTATCGAAAACATTATTTTTTTTCAATTCGAACGCTTTTGTGGTTCGGTTGATTTCTATTTCAAAGCCTTTACAGAGTCATAAATTTTTTTACTCTATTTATATTTTTATTGTTTTATTTACGCAATAATAATAATAATAAAATTTGTCAAATAGTTTATTAATCGCGGATTTATTTCACGGAAAACTTTTTTCTTTTTTTTTTTTTTTTTTCGATGAAGTTTTCATATGATTTTGTTAAGAATTTACATTCAAATAAATTTATTTCAATTAATATAATTGTTACGTAATTTTTGATACGTAAAAGTGAAACTCTCAAAGGCGTCGTCGTTTTAAATTTTCACATCGTTCGAATCTTAATTTAATTATTTATCAAAATCAAATCGCAATTATTATTATTTTGTTTGTTTAAATCTTTCGAAATCAAATCGTCAAGTGTTATAGTAAACTAATAAAAAAAAAAAAAGGAAAACTATTTTAAAAAATTATTACTTACATAATTCTAACCATGATGATGTCTTTGATTTGTGTTAAATATTAAACGGTTTAACAATGTCATAAACTGAAAAATGGGGAAATTCGGTGGTTTTTTTTTTTTTTTGATGATTCGTAAAATTATTTAAAAATTTTTAACTAAATTGAGTATAATTTTGTTAAAGAAAAACATAATTGGCCTGTGTTTCGTAAAAAAAAAAAAAAAAAAAAAAAAAGTGCTGACTTCACAGCGTGTTGCGATTAAAAAAAAAAAAAAAAAAAAAAATTTTCACAATCGTATCGATATACTCTAATATAAAGTATAAAAATATAATTACGACGTTTTAATATAAATTTTGTTTCGTTCCTAAATTTTAAATTAAACGGTTTTGTTGTAACGTTTGACTTAAATCGACGTTATTCGATTTGAAATTTCTTTTTTCTTTTGTTAATTATTTTTCAACGTTTCAGCAATCGATTCAAAGTTCGTCATTCTCAAAAAACAATTAAATTAACGTGTATGATGACCTTTTAAGGAATTTTAAATAATAATTCGGGGGGGGGGGGAATTGTAAATCGTCCAGGTTAGCAAGAATAATGTAATCTTGTAATTAATTGATGTTATTTTGTCGATTGTTTTTTTTTTTTTTTTTAAATAAATCGTTTTTTTTAATAGTATTTTATTTGTGATGTCTTGTAATCATCGTATTTATCAAAGAGCGTTCAAAAAAAAAAAATTGGATGAATTTTATTTTTTTAAAATTAAAAATAATGTTTTTAGAAATTCTAGAGAATTTTTTTTTTTTTAAAAAAAGAATCTTATATAAATTTCATTTGAATTAAAATCCGTGAAGTAAAGTAATGGATGAGGAAAAAAAAAAGAAAAAAAATTATTCTTCTGTTTCGCAAAGGGATATTTTAACGTATAAATTATTAAAAAAGTCAAATTTATTTATTACTATTTACCTTTTTACGAAAAAAAAGCTTTTATTGTAAATTTTTTTTCCTTTCTTCTTGTTTGTTGTTTGCGTTGTAATTAAACATCGTTTGTTTGTTTTTTTCTATTTTCTCGAGGCAGGTTTTAAATAATAAAATTACTTACGGTGTATCTTGATTTAAATTTATTTGAGGTAGCAGAAGAGAATTATCAACATTCAAAGAAGGATTTCGAATTTCTTTATCGAAATTTTGAGTTTCGTTAATCGATTGAACTTCGAAAATCGTATCCAAACTAGGCCACTTTGGTATCAATGAATTTCTTTTTTTATATTTTCCATTAATCTTTGTCGATGTCGAACCTTTTTTTTTCCTTTTCCCCAAATTGTTACACCTTGAAACCGAAAACAGAGAAAAAAAATAAAAAAAAACAAATTTTTGTAATGTTCGATTTTTTTTTTTTTTTTATACTGAAAAGAAAAAAAAATTTTTTTTCAATTAAGCGCAATCAATAATGTCACGATTTGCAAATTATTATTTAATTAATCGACGCCATATTTAAATTTTTGCAAATCATGTTTAAATGCGGCGGTAAAAATAAAATAAAACAAAAAGAATGAACTAAAAACAAAATGTTTACATTATTATTATTATTATTATTTTGTTTTACATGGTATGGATACATTTTAACTTAAATTTATTGCATTGAAAATAAAAAAAAAAAAAAACAATTTGAATCTTGTTGATTCAAGCTTAAAAATGAGATGATGATAATAATAATAATATTATAAAAAAAAAAAAAAACAGAAAAAAAAAGTTTACAGTCCTTGAAATCAATAATAAACGTGGTGAACTTTGAATGAGCAAATAGTTATGTATTATTATCATCATTATTATTATTATAAATATTACGCACACATTTATTAATATGTGTGTTTACCCATGGGGAAAATTATTTTATTCGTCATGTTTCGTAATATCGATCCGATTTATTATTATTATTATTATTATTATTTATTTATTTATTTTTGTGGAGGTTCAAATTTTTATAGTCTCGTAGTACGTAAATTAATTAGACTAACAATTTTCTCGAACAAAGCGGGGAAATTTTTAAAAAAATGATTTGTAAAAATAAATAAATAAATAAATAATAATAATAATAAAGGATTTAATTAATAATAAATGTTGTCAAGTCGTCATTAAATCCGTCGTATTTAAGCTCGTCGTACTTAAAGACTACTTAAGTGATTTATATTATTTTCACGATAAGATTTTTTTTAGAAAAAGAAAAAAAAAAAACATTTAAAATATGGAAATGAAATTTTTTCTCAAAAAAAAATTAAAATTATTATCAATTGATAACGACGACGATAATAATAATAATAATAATTATGACGTTTCATTTACAAAAATTTATTTTTTTATTTTTTCTTATTTTCCTCGAGAGTTCAATTATTTACTTTAAGATTAAATGATTGAAATTCAAATATTTGCAGACGACGTTTTAACTGTTCACTGACTTTGATTTTTTTTTAACAATGGTTTTTTTTTTTTTTTTTTAAAAAAAAAAAAAAAAAATATTTCGGTTGTAAGTCATAATAACAGAACAAAAAATTTATATCGAGTCACTGAATCAGCATAGGTCGTATTATTGCGTCGTCTCGTAATTTATGCGTACCTTAGCAAAAGAACAAATAAGCACACGCACACACACACGCACACACACACGCACACACTAGTTTAAATAATTCGAAAGAAAGGAAAAAATTATTACTATTATTATTAATTTTGTTTTCTAATAATTCGATTTTTTTTTTAATAATTTTGTCCGTGTTTTAATAATTGTGACAAAAACAAACCTACAGTTTTTTTTTTTTTGCGCATTAGCCATCGTGTTTTCTCAATTAGAAGGAAAACATTTGTCGAAAATATTTTATTGTTAGTTAGAATTGAACGACGTTTTGTTTGATTTATCAATTGTCTAACTACAAAACAATTCGTTTGTTTCATTTGTTCTCAAAAAAAATTTTAAAAGAAAAATATTTCCTTAAAAAAAAAAAAGGTGTTTTTTTCTGACACTTTTTTTTTTTTTTTTTTTTTGATTGAACGTGGTGAATCACCGCAATTATTATTTTCATTTAACAAAAACCTTTTAAATTAATTTTTTAAAAATAGAAAATTATATGTATTAATTAGTGGCTTTTAAAACAACAACAACAACAAGAACAAACAAATAATTATAATATTTTTAATTTTTTTTTTGCAAAATGATGTTTGTTAATTGCTGTCGAAATTTTTTTTCCCTTTCGTTCAGGTATAAAAATGCGTTTGAAAAATTTTCTAATTAAAATCAATGATTTTGCAAATTTTATCGATTTTTTTTTTTTTTCGGTTCACAATGTAAAAATTTTAAAATCGATACGTGGAAAATACAAAGATGGTCTCTTTAAAAATTTAAAAAAGAAAGAGAAAAGCTTTTTGCTGTAGATTTTATCACCTTAACCGTCTGCACAGAAAAAAACCTGCGTGCCAAAAGTTAAAGTTATCGAAAGCTTTGCCCTTCGTTAAAAAAAAAAAAAAAAAAAAAATTCATTAAGATAAAAAATTCATAATAATAATAATGTTAATTAATATTTGAAAACTCGAAAAGGAAAATGTATTTTGCAATATCATTCCATTCATCACAACAACTTTTTGCGGTTGTTAAAAAGAAATTTTCTTTTTCCTTTGAAATCTCTTGAAAATATTTTCTCTCTCTCTCTCTCTCTACTCAAAATATAAATTTTATAAGGATTTTTTTTTGTTGCTTTTTTGGGATAAAAAAAAGGAAAAATTTATCTTTCGATTTTTCGACAAAAGAAAAATCGTTAACGATTGAATATTTATAATAAAAATTTTTAACGAGAAAAAAAAAAGGAAAAACGATAGGAAAAGTTATCGTTATTGGAAAAATATATGTATATGTAAAGTTATACATGGAAAATTTTGAATTTTTTTTTTTTAAATTGAATTAATTCATCGGAAGATCGTTTGTTATGATCATTCAATTTATATAAAAGAAAAATTGTTTTTTATATTTTATTAAAAAAGAAAATTTACCAATTTAAATTTGAATTTTTTTTTTAAATTATTGTTTTTATACGTTATTGACAGTTTGAAATGTTTTTGTTTTTGTTTTTGTTTCTAATGAAAATTGAAATCCCCGTAAAAAAAAAAAAGGAAAATTTTCAATTCGAATAATTGATTTTTATATCGTTTAAATTATTGTTATTATTATTATTATTATTATTTTTGTTTTTTTTCGATTGTTTATTTGTTATTACTTTTTACGGTTAGTAATTATTTTATGGTTATTATCATTATCAAATATCGTTCCTTTATCACTTTCGGAATTTTAAATGTTTTTTCCTCTGGGATGAAATTTCAAAATTCATTTTCAAAAATTAATCTGATTATTCTGGAATGAATCTTTCCTTTCTAGATCTTTCTTGGAGTCGATACCGAATTTTTTTTTTTTTTTTCGTTCGAATGTTTGTAATTCGGGTTAAA